GGGGGGGGCATGTGATGCGGAGGTGGGGACCGACTGGAAGAGAGGAGGCATGAAACCACGAAAAATCTTCCATCATCTTTGCATTGGGAGTGCTGGCGAAGAAAAGGCCGCCTCCGCGAGCCACTTCAGCATATTTTTCCCCCTTTGAATTTTCTCTCCACCTTGTGTGTGTGTGTGTGTGTGTGTGTGTGTGTGTGTGTGTGTGTGTGTGTATGTATGTGAAAGTGGGAGAGATATTAAGCCGAGGAGTGTCAGAGCGAGAAAGAGGAATAAACGCCGTCGTCGTCGCCGTCCCCCGCCCACCAAACTCAGACAGACGCGGTCGCCCCCCCCCCTCTCCCTCTATTTCCCGTTTCCCGCCAAAACGACACCTGCCGCTGCCTCCTCCTTGTCCCTCTGTCGTGCCAACTTTTACCGATGGCCAGCCCCACACCCTCTCCCCGCCCCCGGACACTCCTCCACTCCTCACCTCCTCACCTGCCCTGCTCCGCGCCGCAACCCCCCACCCCCCTTCTCATGCTACGGACCCACACCCGCCATAAAGGGCAATTTTATTTCTATTTCGACAGGGATTTTGTGTGGTGGTCCAACGAGCCCCGAAATGTTTTCTTTATTATTATTTCCCCTCCACTCCAACCACGTCCGCGTCCTCTACCTGCTGCTCCTCCTCCTGACCGCGCAGCCGAATACCCTCACAAAAATAAAAGACATGAAAATACCTGAGCGGGCAAGGCGGCGGCTGGGCTCAAAGCTCAAACGCTCGTCGGTCGTCGGGCGGACTCGCTTGTCCAACGCCGGCAACAGGTGCCGAAGGTGCCGAATGTCCAGCGGCGGCGTGGCGGCGTCCACCGCACAGTGGACTCCCGGGGGAAAGGGGGGGGGGGGCAGGATTTGGTCACCGTTGCCACCCTAAAACCTCAAAGCCATTCGAGCAAGTAGCGTAAGGGTCTAGACCTGGTCTAAACAGAGAGACACACCTACAACAGAGATAATGTGTGTACACTCCGATATACTTATGCGACGCACGTGTCGGCCGCTCGCCGCGTCTCGAAAGGCTGAACTAAATATATTAGCCGTGCCTCGGTGGCTCGGGTGGCAGTGACGGGGGACAGGTGCGACTCGGATAGCATGGCGGCGGGGCGGGACACGTCCTGGACACGTCACAAAAGACGCCGCTACCCCACAAGAGTCGTCCTCTTTGCGTCTCTCCGCGGACGTCGAGGTCCAGCCCGCAGATGTGTCCACCTTGTCCACGACCGCGACTCCTTTACAGCCCCCCCCCTCCCCCTCGAGATTTCGCGTAACAACGTGGGGGACGATCAGAACAGAATCGCGTGACGTCGTGCGGTTGCCGACCCGTCCGCTGGGCAGCAGGGCTGTCGGATGGGTTGCCTACCTCCCCGGCGACAAAGCGGGCCTCTTGCCTCGCCGCTGCCCGCCGTGCGGGTAGGCAACCCTTCGGCCATGGCCCCGGTGTCTTCCGGCCTATTTGAGCGAGAGTCGTTTTCCCGCTACCGAACAGTCCTCCCCCCCCCCCTCGTGTCGCAAGGCGTTCGGTTCCCTCCCCACCCCTCCCCGATCGCGTTCGGTTCGGTTCGGGTTTGATGTTTTGTTGTCTTCTGCACTTGTGCCTCGTGAATCGCCTGTCAATCTAAAGCTTTACCGAAACTTTTTCGATCAAGAGCGCATTTTATTTCTTGAAGGAGAACGACATTTGTTTTGCAATTTAGCATTTAATCATCTTTCTCCCCCATCCTTGGAGTTGCACCCTCTTGGGCTGTGAGATTGTAGAGTTTCATAACCTAAGTTTCCGGTCGTGATTTGCTATGAAGTGTCATTTTTGGTTGTGATTTGTGACTGAACGATCTTGCTTCAATATATTACACTTCGATATGGGAATTTCACTTCCTTGTGAAGAGCTGGTAAGGATTCCAATCGGTGGCTGAAATATTAGCTTTGTTGTTCAGGCTTAATGTGTTTGCTTGACAATTGTTTTTTCTGTCTTTAGGTTTTATTTATGTCTTACTTAGTATAGACTTCTCAGCCTAATGAATTTTTCGTCATTGTTTCATCCTGCCTTCGTTAATTTTAACTGGTAAGTCTTTGTTGCTACCTGACATTTTTCATTGTAATGTGCTGTACCTGTCTTTTTCTGCTACTGGTTTGATGCCTTGCCCTCTCATTTTCTTGAAGGCCTAATATTGATGGAAGCCCACTAGCTTTTAGAGCTCATGGAACCGAATCTGAACCGGACGCCATAAAGAAGGAGCGCACCAGCGATGAAGAGAGTGAAAACAAGCATAGACGGGGTGAATTATTTTTTGATTGCTGTTGACCAAACCTCTTTTTCAATTCAAACAAAAATTACATTTTTACATCTTTTTGTTTTTTGTTGTTTAGGCTGGTGCCAGCAGAACCCCATAAATATGGCTGGAGTGAATAACAACAGTAGCAGATCATTAGCTGAAGGTAACTTACTTCCTCCTCACGCCCTTTCCTGCCTACAACAGCATCATCAATCATCGAACCAATCTTCAAGTTCAACGCCAACTTCCTCAATCCCTACATCTGCTCCTTCATCTACATCAACTCCAACTGCCCATGATCTCTTCTTAGGTCACCAGCATCATTTGCAGCATCTCAACAAAAACCAACATCCTGCAATTCCAGTTGAATATTCTTCTGTCAGTAATCCGTCATCACATTCACAGCATCCAATTTCGTCACCTCCCTCATCATCAAGCAATGTGCCATCTTCTTCTTCTAACTCCTCCCAACCAACTCTATTTAAGACCACTTTAAAGTCAATACCCCCCTCCGAAAAGGTGTACCAATGTGATGATTGTGGTCAGTGCTACTCACGAAAAGGAAACTTCATCACTCATTGTCGAATTCATACTGGAGAGAAACCTTTTCAGTGCACTGAATGTACTGAACAGTTTGCTTCTAGTAGTGCTTTGGCCAGACACAATCGCACACATTCAGCTGATAAACCATTTGCTTGTGTAGATTGTGGTAAAATGTTTACTACCAATTCTGCACTCAAAGAACATATTGCTACTCATACATCTGAAGGAGGTAAGGTCATGTGTTCTGAGTGTGGTAAAAAATGTATTACTGCATATGATTTAAAGGTGCATATGCGTACCCACACTGGTGAAAGACCTTACAAATGTACTGAATGTGGTAAAATGTGTTTAACAAGTTCTGATCTCAAAGTACATATTCGCACTCATACTGGGGAACGTCCATTTCAGTGTGTAGAATGTGGCAAGCTCTGTAACACCAGTTCAGATTTAAGGGTTCATTACCGAATACATACTGGAGAAAAAATTCACATTTGTTCCCATTGTGGCAAAGCTTGTAATACAAGTGGAGATTTGAAAGTTCACATTAGAACCCACACAGGGGAAAAGCCATACAAGTGCTCAGTTTGTGGAAAACAGTGCATGACTTCAAGTGACCTTAAAGTTCACTTTCGAACTCACACTGGTGAAAAACCTTACAAGTGCAGCTATTGTGTAAAATCATTCACCACAAGCTCGGATTTGAAAGTTCATACTAGGACACACACAGGCGAGAGACCTTACAAGTGCACGGTTTGTGGTAAAGGTTGTTTAACTGCCAGTGATTTGAAGGTACACATGCGGAGACATTCTGGGGAGCAGCCCTATCAGTGTTCTGTTTGCAGCAAACAGTGTAGTACTTTAAGTGATCTAAAGGTTCATGCTAGGACACATACAGATGAATGAACCATTTTGAATGTGATAAGTTGTTACAAACTTTCTTTAATTTACTTATCCTTGTAACAGGAAAAAAAATGATCAAACTCCAAACTTTACCATTTACGCATTGAACCTCTCAGACAATATTTGTTTGATGAATCAACAAAAGTTAGGGTTGAAATAAGTTTTAATCATAATTATCAATCAGGAATGTACTCCTACAATAATGCTACTTTGACATTGCTGGTATTCTTATGTAAAATGTAATGTCTCAGGATATTATTAAATTAATGATGTTTATACATATAAGAAAGATTACTGAATTGGTTGTTAAAGCAAGCATCAATGCCCTGTTGCTTTTGACCTGTTCTGACAAACTTTAAGAAAATTGAAGGAACATGGATCAAATTTTGAAATCAGGTCAACATTTTCTACTTTCTACTGTTATGACAGGATTATTCTGTTGCTATTCTAGATTATCATTCAGGTTCTTGGTATTGGATTACCAAATCTATCCTGTTTTGATTTTAAATTACAACATATTTGTTATGTTTTGTTTTGCAGTTTGCATGATACAAATGTGGTTTAACTATTGTTGACTACTGTCACTCCTGTTACCATTATTATTTTTGCAGGTGTACAATTTAGTATCTAATCCTGCATTTACAATAGAGTGAAATCTCTTAATAAAGTTGTTTTCTATTTGCAACAAAATATTATCTGGTTATTAATGTGGTTCCTCATTGGACTCAGATGTGTGCCATTGGGTGGTTTTTATTGTCATGAACACTAAATAACTAGCTTATTTACACTTTATTTTCTTTTTAAAGCTTCACTGACAATCACATTGATGGCATCAACTGTTTCCTCAGCTGCCGGTTTGATTTGGTCCTTGGGAAGGAGGAAACCGTAGGCACCTTCATCTCTCAGTTCGAACACAAATGGATACTTGACACCTTTATCATACGCATAGTCCAACGTGCTACCAGATGCTGCATCTGTGAACAATTGCAAAATTTTGACACGTTGAGTCTCAGAGAAATCAACAGGGGTGGTGTTTCCCAGCAAGGCATGGGCGCCATGTGCCCACAACGTGTTAAATCAAATATTCTTCCTTCCAACACCACGAAATGCATTTTAAAATCAAATAACATCCTCTTTTAAACTTTTATCACAAAATATCTAAAAATTGCATAACTTGTTCTTTCAATTTTAATGTATTGTTGTGCCTGTATATAGGGTATTTCAGAGCTGGACGTGAAGAAGTAAAATGGAAGAACAAAACGCGCACTGCTCATGCGCAGACGTGGAGTGGGGGAAGCTGGGGATGGAGTGGGGGGCGTCTGCTCATGCGCAGTGCGCCTTTTGTTCTTCCATTTTACTTCTTCACGTCCAGCTCTGAAATACCCTATTTCATGTATTGTTTTGTTTTCTGATAAGTTTTAGTCATTTTGTTTGTTGGATCTGTAAAGAATGACTACTGCCACTCCCACCCATCAGGTACAGGACCGACATGTCGAAGGCAGGTGATTGGTACTCACAGATGGTCTTTGCGATGGGCCCGTAGCGGAACTTGGTCCCGTACCGTTTGGCCGCAGCCTCCGCGGCGGCCCCGGCCACGGCGTTCAGGTCGTCGTGGTCCTTGGTGTCGTCCAGGGTGAATCCCCAGGGGAACATGAGCAGCTGGCTGTACGAGTGCAGGCTGACGTACACGTGGAGCTGCAAGGCAGACCGCGCGGGGTTAGAGACAAGCGCAGCGGGAGGCGCCGGGCAGGTAGGCAACCCAACGTACCGTGCTGTTGGGCCTGCCGATGAGCTCGTCGATGTAGCGCCTCAGGCCCTTGGTCTCCGGCTCCGACTCGGGCCCGGTGCCGGCGTAGGTGTCGGCGCACGGCCACGGGCTCGCGCCGACCTCTGGAAGCAAGTGGTTGTGGTGGTCATCCTAGAAACAACCTCCCGTCCTCCCGTGTCCCGTCCTCGTCGCCCTGCGCGACTCACCTCTCCAGTGGAACGGCCAGTTCCTGTTCAGATCCGCTCCTTGGCACAGGTAGTTGTATCGGCTCCGCGATTTGCGCCACAGGCGGTTCTGAATCGGAACGAACGTCATTTAATTTAACAAGAATTAACATCCTCCATGGACAGCTCAAATCGACGCGAAATCGGTTCTTTTGTTTTTATGATTTCCTGTTGATCGTGAGGCCGCCCCCCCCCCTTTCCCCGGTTCTTGTCTTCTCCTTCCGGTCTAGCCGAGTCCCGTAGAACAATATTGTCTTTGAAGCTTTAGATTGTCGTTTCACCACGCCTCACGTTTTTAAAGTTTTCAAGCTCACTGATTTCACGTGTTTGAGAGGGAGTGCCTCATAGTTGGTACGTATTTTGCGTAGTCTCACTGTGGGCTGGTGCTGGTTGGTCATGTGGCATGTGGCCTGTGTCGCCATGTTGAGGTTATCCACCCTGAATGTAACGTGCAAAGTTACTTATTGGGTACCCATACACTGTTTCACTCATGGTTTTAGTATTGGTAACGAACGTTTATGTCTCAGTTTACTATACTTTTAAAAAGTAACTTTGCACGTTACATTTTTACTTAGTCTCGCTAGTGCGGTCCCCCCGCCGCCGCCGTGCTCACCGAGGTGTGCGTGTAGACGTAGCCGTCCGGGTTGGCGACGGGGAAGATGTGCCACTCGTAGGCGTGCATTGCGGCCTTGAAGTCGTCGTCCTCGCGGGTGAGCAGTTCGTTGGTGAGGAAGGTGGCGGTGGCCGGGGTGATCCACTCGCGGGCGTGGATGCCGGCCTCGAGCAGGGCGACGGGCAGGCTCTCGTTCGAGAACTTGATGCGCACGCCGAGGATGCTGCGGCCCTCGTACGTGCGGCCGGCCTCGACCACCTGCACCTTGTAGGGGAACCTCTTGGCCAAGCCCTGCATCCACTTGTAGATCTGTAAATAATGGGGTTGTGCGCGCACACTATATAGGGGTGGCTCGGTGGGTACTATTTTAATGGTCGTCTGAGTTCGAGGCTCACAGGCTTTTATCACAATTTTTTCTGGACGTTATTACGACAAACGTTAAATGCACTTAAAACTACGTTGCCCAATGGTTCATGGCCTTTCAAATACTTCTACAGCCCTGAGTCCAAATGGAGGGGCGTGAAAGAGGGAATGCCATCCCAATATTAAACTGACGTAAAACGTTGAACTCTAACCTCCTCCAGGCCGTGGTAGGTGTCCCAGCCAAATTCCAGGTTAGCCCTCTTGGCGTCGAGCATCTGGCGTTGTTCCTCTTCAATAAGTCTGGAAATGCGTCCCATTGAAGTTACCATTATCATACTAAACGTCGCAAAAATGGCCCTTTTTAAGGGGAAGTTATTGAATGTATTGTCATCGTGACCTTTTGATCTCGCTCAGGCTCTTCCCGTCCCTACCTGCCGAGGTCGGGGATCATGTCCCTGGGGACCAGGCCCTGCTTGACGAGGAACTCCTTGACGACGAGGCTGTCGTTGGGGCTGACGCGCATGTCCACGGGCCGGAGGGGCTGCGACGGCTCCATCCACGTGTCCAGCTGGCGGGCAGACCAAGAAGTGGTTTGGTGCACGAACCATCCCACAGCCCCGGAACGTTGACAGGTGCGCCGCTTACCGAGGGGTGGTCGTGCAGGAAGGCGCGCAGCTGCCGCACCTGCTGCTCCGAGGCCGGCAGCACGCGCAGCACCTTGTGGCCGTGGAAGGCGGCATCCTGGTGCGTGAGGTCGGCCTCGGCGCCGTGCTTGAGGACGTCGCCGTGCCTCGAGGCGTTGGCCTCGACGGCGTGCTTGGCGGAGGTCACGTGGGCGGCCTCGTGCTTGCCCGCCGCGCCCGTGAACGCGTGCAGGTGCTGGATCACGTGCTGTATCAGGCGCTCCGGGACGAGGTCGGCGGCCGCTGTCGCTGCGTGTGACGGCGGCGTCCTGGTGGTCCCCGGGGACGGCGGTGGCGCGCCGCTGGCGAGTGCGCCGAGCACCAGCAGCAGCGCCAGCCGTGGGCCGCAGTGGCGCTGCATGGCGAGCTGCAACAGGCCGCTCGCTTATCAGGGTCTTTACGACCCTACCTCGTCGTCGGGGTCCTGGTCGGGTCCTGGTCGCGTGCTGGCGGGGTCGTGCGGCCTGTCTCACTTCGGCGATGGACGTGGAGGTGCACTGACGGGTGCCCCTCTTTAAACCCTTTCCCCGCCGGGCTTATCGTTGCGTCCCCGGCTTCCTTTGAGCCAGGTCGACGTTGACTCTGGGCGGGGCGCTTCGTGGGGCGGGGTGGTGTTTTGGCGGGCGCTTCTCCTGCCGGGGCTGCACAGCAATGGTTTCCTTCTTAGAGCGGGGTTTTCTGCTACAACTTAAGTTTCACTTTGAACTTATCGGAACAGTTCTTTTTAGTGGTAGGTGGTGGGCAGAAGGCGCGGGACGAGGTAGGAATAACTTAAGCTTAGCGTCTTAAAGCATTCCTATTAACGTCTCTGAAATCTACGCCATCGCCTGGAAAAAAAATATGTGATAATTTTTGCACGGCCCCCCTGCGCGTGCCGCGCATCGTCTCCTCCAGGAAGTTCGGCGTTATCTCCAAAGTGTGCGTCCTGCACCGATATAGAGCGGCGGGGGGCAACAGCCGATTGGCGCGGTGGCTGGTCCGCGGGGTCAAGCGGCCTCTCATTTACCAGGACCAGAGTAACAATTGATGTTTGAAATTCAGCTTTATTCGTCCTAAAATGTAGTAACCACCTAGTAGTTGTTGTTGTGGTTTTTCGCAGTTCTTGTTTTTCGTGAGAGCACTTTTACAACAGCGGGGACAAATCGCGTTTCTTTTCCATCGTCTCTACATTCTACAAGTCGTTGCACACGGTGGGGTTCTGAGTGGGAAGCCCCTTGTTGTAGACCTCGTCCACGATGACCTTGACGCCCGCCCAGGTCTCCTGGGCCGCCGGGATGATCTGGTCCTCGGGCAGCATGAAGCCGTACTTGCCCGTGTCGCGTAGCTCGTAGACGAAGGGGTACGGCACGCACTTGCTGTAGACGTAGTCGATCGTGCTGCCCGAGGCAGGGTCTGGGAAGAGAAAAAGAAAGATGTAGTCAGTCTTCCAGTTGAAGTTGTTGGTAGAAGCCCCCCCCCCTCCCTTTTTCCGAAGTGGTTGTACACCAGGTTGCCGGAGTTTAGCCCCACCGCCGCCCCTGTTTACTTACATATGGTACTGGAGATGTCGCCGTACGTGAATTCCGTCCCGCCGACACTCTTGATCGCCTCGACCGACTTCCTCGCGATCGCATTCTAGAAATTGAGTCGACATGGAGTTGAGCAGTGACAAGAGGGTGGTAATGTGGGCGGCTAAGTCTTCTCCGGCCCTGACAAACTGACCAGGTCGTTGTGGTTGTTGATGAGCTTGTCGGTCCAGCCCCAGGGGAACATGAGCAGCTGGCTGTACGAGTGCAGCGAGATGTAGATGTGCATGCGCGAGGCCAGGCTGTCCACGTGCGCCCTCAGGTTCTGCGTCTCCACCTCGGACTCGGCACTGGGCCCGGCGTAGATCTCGGAGGCCGGGCTCGGGCTGGATCCGGCCGCTGCAATGGTTTCAGGTTTAAGCAAGGCCTCTAGGTTTTAGGTTTCGAACAAGCTTGTAAATGATGCCGAGGGGGGCGCCCTGGCCGAGTATGAGACTTACCGCCCCATTTGAACGGCCAGTTACGGTTGGCGTCCACCCCCTTGAAGATGAGCCAGTTCGTGCTGCGGGTCTTGCGCCAGTTGCGGTTCTGCGAGGAACGTTTGTGTCGTTATTATTTTTTTGTTCAGAACGGTTTCCCCCCGATCCCTAAAAGGGGTCGTTCAGAAATCACGTTGACATTTTTTTGGGGGTGCGGGGCGATACATAAGGGTTCCAAAAGGACCAGGACGATCATTGGAGTCCAAGGACACCCCGTGATGTTTGTACCCCGGGGGGTAAAAATATCATGGGGTCAGTGGAGTTCGAAGACACCCAGTGACAATTGTTTGTAGCCGTGGGGTAAAAATATCATGGGGTTAATGGAGTCCAAAAACACTCCGTGACATTTGTACCCCGGGGGTAAAAATGTCATGGGGTCTGGTTGGACTCCAATGACCGTCTTGATCCTCTTGGGACCCCCCATATTTTTTGGACCCCCGTTCCCCCAATGTCCTGTGACGCACCTTCTCCCACGTGTAGACGTAACCGTCGGGGTTGACGGAGGGGAAGATGTGCCACTCGTAGTTCCGGACGTTGTCGCTCTCTGCGCTCTTGAGGATCTGGTCGATGAAGTAGGTGGCGCTGGCGTGGGCGATCCACTCGCGGGCGTGGATGCCGGCCTCTAACATGGCCACGGGCAGGTTGTCGGCGAACTTGATGACGAGCCCCTTCATGTCCCGCTTCTCGTGCGACTGGCCGACGTTGACGATGCTAACGACGGTGGGATACTTTTCTTTGAGCGCCTCGAACCACTTGTAGATCTATATCCGAAAACACGATAGTCCAATTTAGCGCATGTCTAGAGAAATGTGTGGTTTGAGATGGTGGCCTGGATTTAAAAGAGAGGGCGGTACCTCATCCAGGTTCTGATACTTCGTCCAGTCAAATGGCTTGTCGTCCGTCAGAGCGCGGGTCGCGGACAGCTTCTGCTTCCGAACCAAACTGTAAAACAAATGATCGATTAGATCCATGAGTCGGCCAAAAAGATCCTCGAATCAATGGATGAATCGTTCAACAACATTAACGAATCGATCGATGAATCGACTTGCTTGTGCGCTGACTGACTACCCATACCCACCTGTGGAGGTCTGCGATGAACACCTCGTGATCGAGGCCCAAGCGGCCGAGGAAGGCGACGAGTTCCTCGCGCTGCCTGGGGGAAACGTTCACGTCGACAGGGAGACCCTCTTTCCTGGGCTCGAGCCACACGTCGAGCTGCACCGGGAAAGCACCATTTCAGTCAGAAGCCATGACGATGTCAAAGAGGGTCAACGAGCTTTGTAAATTAAATACAAAGCTACTGTTTGGGCGTAGATTGGTGTCGTTCCGGCCAAATAACATTAACCACCCAACTTGTTACATGATTTCAGTGGCGTTCAACCTCGAGTTCGAGTTACTCCAGTTACTTCAGTAATTAATTACCATGGGGTTGCGTTGCAGGTACTCGTGCACGGCGAGCAGCTGCTCCTCGGAGCGCGGCGTCACCCGCAGCACGGAGTGGCCGACCAGGTCGTCGCTGTAGCCCAGGACGGCCACCGCCAGGGCGGCCACGAGCGCGGCGCGGAGGAGCATGTTCCGCTGCGGCACCGGGGAGGTCACCAGTGAGGTCAACAATGAGGTCACCACCAAACGCTCTGCCTGCCGTTTGCTGTCTCAGCCGCCCGTTTCAGCCCTGTAGGGTAAGTACTCACCAGTGGATCGAGCAGAGAGGCTGAACGAACGGGGTGTGGCTGCGGCTGCGGACTGAGTATATCGTTTGATGCCCACGTTTGATGTCGCAGGACCTCTCCACTTATCGTCGGCAAAACGGCAATTAGTTGCAGATTAGATTAAGCGGCGCTCCTTAAGGAGCGATTGCCGGGCGCTTCTCATAGGTCATGATGTCTAAGACCTAGTTGCGCAGATAACGTACCGCGCGATAAAGTGGTGGCTGGCGACACATGCCACCTTTGAGGGACTCACACATGTGAATGAGTGAACGAACGAAGAAGCATGCCATCAATTTATTTTAAAGACACAAGACAAGAGGTTTTTTCAATACAAAATTTCGATGTGGTCCACGTTTAGAAGTTACCTGTGAATTTGCAATTTTAACATCGCGCAAATAGTCAGTCAGCCATACCAAAGAACTAACTCTTCGCATCTAAATTTCATGAGGCCTGTCCAACAGCCGACAGGTGCTTTCTTTGGCTTGGCAGGACTCCCTGTAGGGCCGCAGCGGAGTGACGGTCAGGTTCCCGAAGGTCGCTTCGCCCGGCCCGTTTGTCTTCACGACGATGAGGTTGTCCTCGTCCTTGGGGAAGATGAGGTCGGTGATGGCCACCCTGCCCCCGTCGGCAAACACCTCCACGGACCCCTCGTCGACCAGGATCTTGAGTTTGAGCTTGCCGTCGGGGAGGGTGTCGCGGGCGAGCGGTGCCACGTGCACGCCGGGGAAGTCGGGGCTGAAGTCGGTGGCGCCGGACTCACGCCTGTCGACGGAGAGCTCGCCCTTGTTGGCGTTCCAGGTGACGTCGGTGCCGGAGGTGAAGTTGGGTGAGGCGCGCAGGAGGATGGACACGCCCGTGGCGCCCGTGCCGAGGGTGACGGTGACCTCGAGGTAGTAGGCGCCGTTGCAGCCCGAATACAGCAGCATGGGCCGCCTCCTGACCGTGATGGAGACTGGCGCCATCTGCATGGGGCGGAGCGTGGCCTCGAGCGCGGGGACGGGCTCCTGGACGAGGTCCACGCCGTCGGGCGCGCCGGCGCGGCTGCGCAGCGACATGACCCGGGGCACGCTCATGGAGTTGCGCCACGGCGACGTCGGCGTCCTGGGCAGCACAGAAACGAACCGTCAGTCTGGCGGGCACGCCCCCCACCTCCGTGCGTCGGTCGGCTCTACTTACTGCGTGGCGTACAGCCAGTTGCTCATCCAGCCGATCATGTAGCGCTTGCCGTCGGGCGCGCCCACCCAGGAGATGGCGGCGTAGTAGTCCTTGCCGTAGTCCAGCCAGCGCACGGCCGCGGGGTCCTTGTTGTCCGGCACGAAGCGCTCGCCGTCAAAGTCGCCGATGAAGTACTGGCCCGAGGAGCCGCCCTGCAGCCCGCCGGGGTTGACGTTGACGATGAGCACCCACTTGATGCGGGCCAGGTCGCCGTCGACGGGCAGCGGGAACAGGTCCGGACACTCGTACTGCCCGGCCACCGCCCCCATCGGGCCGAAGGCGCTCAGCAGTGTCCATGCCTGTGGGTAATTGTACACGGTATTGTTATTGCGTATGAGAATCAAATACGCGAACGTGGCAGCTGTTAGTTCATTTGTCACTTCACATCGAATGAGCCATAGAGAGCATGGGACGTGTACTTTAGCGAATACTCATACACGGCGCTAACGCTAATCAATACCACCTTGAGGTTGGGGAAACGGACCTTTCCTTAGCTAAGGTCGTTACCTTGAGGTCGGGCGACGAGTAGAAGCGGACCTTGCGCTCGTCCGGCATGGCCACGGCCATGAGCCAGCGCCGGGTGGGCTCGTGCCACTGCACCTTGGGGTCGCGGAACTCCTTCTCGTTCTCGTCCAGCACGGGGTTGCCCGCGTACTTGGTCCAGGTCCGGCCGGCGTCCAGACTGTAGGCCAGCGACTGGGCCTGCAAGGGGGCCGCCCGCGTGTCGTGTGAGCTCGGTGGTTGGGCACCCCAAAGGATCGCCCAGAAAGTATGTCCGTTTTTCGCCCACATTCAGTCCGGCGATTTAATTTAAATTATGTGAGCTCGGCGCCTGCGAAACGCAGGGTAGGCCACCCCGCGGTACACGTGTGCACTGCAGGGGCGACGTTGCCTACCCATCAGGCGCTATGTTAGCTTGCAGAGGCTGACACTCGTCAGTTTCGTTACGGCGAATGACGGCCGACGTACTTTGTGGGCGATCCCCCAACGCTCCGACCACGGGGACATGGGAACATACCATGCCCCGGGGAGGGCGAGGGGCGAGACACCGACCTGTTTGCTGGCGTTGTGGCTCGTGTAGATGGCCACCATGGGCGGGTTCTCCGTCGTGCCCAGGCCCGACGTGTTGTCCTGGTCGAGGACGGCGCTGCCGGAGAAGATGAGCTCGCGGTCGCCGTCGAAGGGGATGGCCGGCTTGCCCTCCGACGAGAGCTCGGTCCAGCGGACCAGGTCGCGGCTGACGGCGTGGCCCCACGAGATGTTGCGCGGCAGGGGCGACAGCGGGCTGAACTGGTAGAAGAGGTGCCACTCGCCGCCGGCGTACAGCAGCCCGTTGGGGTCGTTGATCCAGTTGGTCTTGGGGGTGAAGTGCACCAGGGGGCGCGGGAACGGGGCCGTCAGGCACTCTTCCTCATCGGCCGCCGGGGTGGTCGCTGGTTGGTAGGAGTGACATAAACTATGGGTAATGATATTTTGTCATGTGAGGCAAGTGTCTTGTCTTACACTTCACTGAAAACTGATTGGCATTTTTTAAATCAAAATTTGGCGTTCTTTCGAACAAGACGCCAGATTTTGGCGTCTTAAGACTCCAACCAATGTTCAGTGTTATTAGTTAAAAACAACTCTGACCATTGGTGTCGAAACTTCGATTTTAGTTTCAAGCGGAATAATGGCAAACTTGGCTCAACTCACATATTCATAAAACAAAACAGCTTTTTAAAAAAATTGAGCTGTGCGCAGTGCAGGAAAATCATGCAAAAACATGGCCGCTGTCTGTGTACTTTTCAAGGACATGAGGATGTGAGTGAAGAGACGGGCCTGGAGCATCATTAAGTTGTGTCCCCAAACAGTGTGCCCGGCCAGCGGCGCGTTCTCACGCCAACCTGACACTTTGATTGTGTTTGTGTGAACAGCGCACGGCGAGGCGCGGGCGGCACATCAACGTTATTGCGCCATAGGTGCGATGCTCTCGCGAAGCACTCCAGGCCGATTAGTTGGGTGCAGTGCAGGGAAAATCTCAGCGTGTGCGAAACAAAATAAAAACAAAGATTAGCACTCTCAAGCCGTTGGGAGTGAAACGAGGGGCTCAGCACTTCTACCAGTTAGTGTATACGGGGTTCCCACTCCAACCAGTCACTTTTCCAGTCACATACAATTCCGAATCACGTACAGTCAGTGGAGAAATTACTCTCGATCAGCAACGAAAAGCGAAATGTCACAAAATACCCCGAGATAACGTGAAACCGCGTGAAAACTCGGTTTAATCCGTTCCAGAGTGAATTGTTCCTCGCACATCTAATCACTTTCCTAATATCTCTTGTGATTTACCAGCCAGTTACCTGGTGCAGTGGACTGCGGTCCATCAACCATAATCAGTTTTGACACCTAGTCAGTGTATGCCCCCCCCCCCCGGAATAAAATCTCTGCAGAAACCCTGTTTGGAAACCCACCTGCCTCCTCGGCGAGGGCGGCCGCCGCGGCCGCCGCCTTGGCCTCCGGGGGCGGCGCGCCGGCCAGGGCCTGGCCCTTGAAGTCCTCGTGCAGGGCGCGCGCGTCGGGCGGCATCCGGGCCCCGGCCCGGGCCAGGGCGAGGGCCGCGAGCACCACGATGTGTGTCCAGGGCGCCATGCCGCAGACTGACTGCGGTGTGCGCGCTGTCCGACGGGGGGCCCCCTTGTTCAATTATCCCTGCTCTGTCCGGGCCTAGCTGTGCCAAACGGCGCCACGCCACGCCACGCCACGCCACGCGGCGGGCCCGCGGATGTCTTTTCCTCTGGCTTCCTCTGACACTCACGTGGTCGGAATATGGTACCTGGCGGGGCCGTGGATGGACGGGTGAAGGATGGCACGCCTCGACCCGGCCAGAGGTGATCGAACGCGAGCATGGCAAACCTGCACGGAAAAAAAAAATGATTAGCTGTGGTATAGCTGAACCAATAAGCTTAAATGATTAACTAATTAGCTATGTAGCCAAAAACTTCGCTCTGTTTTGCTCCATTGACTACATTGCTAATTTATTAGTGACACCTCTTTTAGCTATAGGTTGTCAATTTTTTGCGACAGCTAAATTTTTAGCTACATAGCTAAATAATTCGTTGTAGCTAATCTTTTTTTTTCCGCGTGATGGTTCCTGATGATGATGCCTGCCCTTTGTTGTTGCAGGGGGTGGACGTTACACATTAATTTGCGCATATTTCAAACAGAAGTTATTTGCAATTTCTAAAGTTAATATTTGCGTTTAGCGCTGAAAGAACCGTATGAGATGGTCCCTACAACTTTTCATTTCCCTGGATGTGGTTCTCTTTCCTTATGTCGAGAGTTAGAGCTATAGCTGACACCTTGACCTTACCCATGTGTATTTACGGTTAGTGTTCGAGTTTTAAGGCATCATCTGCTTAAGAACGATGTGCACTCTTTTTGCTGTTCTGTCCTTTATGTAGACAACCGTCCTATAAACTCCGCCGCGTTGTTGGTACCCTATCTTTGCCGCAGGACGAGCTGCTTGACCGCGATCGCCCGCAGGCCTCTGCTTCGTCCTGTGCGTGTCCTGTTGATGAAGTTTTACTTACATCCCTATGATGGGCCGTGTATCTATTTTTCTGCCGAGGTCCTTTGTCCCCCCCCTTTTTCTCTACTCGCGGTGCGCCGGGCACTCCGCGGCCGGCCAGGTCATCTGTCACTGCCAATGTGCGCGCCCGCCTGTCAGAGCCTTGTTCATGTGATGGCCGCGGTGCCTGAAGTGGCGCGGCGTGGCGTGGCGCCAAGTTTCCAGGAACGCTTCCCCGCGCCCCCTTCCCCCCC